CGAGGTAGTCTTAAGCTAATGCTCTTTAATATACACAAGCAGCACCAGAAATACTTGAGTGTGAATCGTCGAATATGGGCAAACGCTACCAAAACACAGTTCTGTATTCAAATAAGGACAAAAACTTGGACAAATGTTTATAAAAGAGCACTGTTATTGGGTAATATAATATCGAAGTAAGCGTTTTGAATACAGGGCACCCATACAGATATAACAGTCATTACAGTGATCGAGTACAAGAGTATGGGAACCAACGGTTATTATACAGAATAGCACGAATTGCTGGACAATTTGAACGAAGTATACTCGATACAACTGAAATGAAATATAAGGAATATGAGTTCGTAAATGGATAAATAGAAATGAATTGGTAAAAAAACAGGGAAACGACTCGTGGTTCGTACGATTTAATGACATGCATATTCAAAATAAAGACCACATTTTCCTTATTTGTATTTTTTTATATGTAATCACATCTATATTCGGTATCTACTGTTTCTCTGTATCAATGGTAATAAACGGATATAATCGTTTAGTTGTACCAATAGATATACACACTACCGTTGTTATAAAAAATAAACGTTATCTCTGTCGTTCGTTCTTCCACCTGAATAGTGTCGTCATAACATCCTTTCAGGCTATTCTACACTGCGTTGGAGTTTTGGCCTAGATTATTACTGAATAATACTATCAGATGTATCTCTCTCATCATGCTGCTGATGCCACCTTGGGCAGAGGAACCTTTGTCAATCAAGTGAACCGGTTTGCGTTTGTTGACTCAGAAGGAACCTAAAATTAATAATTAATTTATGACAATTATTATCATCGTTTTTGTTATAACCCAGTGAAGATTAAATTACAGGTAACTCCCGAGGACTACTAATGGACTAATATTCTATAAATATTCTTAATGTATAACTATTCAACAATTACATTATGTATATTTATATTCCTCTTATTACAAGCTTTACTTTGACCTATATTTCATTACTGTACGATTTACGATCCATAAGCCATGCTCAGTCTATTAATTACTGTCCCCCTCGTTCACAGCCACTTATGGCTTATTTGTGTACACATGTTATTTTCTATTTTATGGTACGTTGTGGTCTGTCTGATTGATATATAAACCGGGTATGTCTGAAATAAACGATCTGCTCGGATTCGATTCATATTACGGAAATTGGTATTGTGTTCTGGACTCAAGTGGAAGAGCTCGGAGGACATAGGACCAATAAGGACGCTAAACTGCCCACACCGGTTGAACGTCATTGGTTGGTCTAGTGTAAAGATCCTTATAAGTTGTATTCGGATTGGTAGATAAGTCGTGTGATAGAAAAGCCAGAGATCCAAGGTCATAACAGTTTTATTTAATATATTGTTTTTTGTTGGTGTTATTTGTTTTCGTTTGGATTCACTCATAAACAGACACTTAGGTTTGTAGTGTTAATTCTTTTGGTATACCATCAGTAACTGTACGTATTGTTACATCTTGTATTAGCTTCTTTACTGTGATCCATGACAGTGGAGCTGAACTGAAAAATGTAAAGCGAATAGTCGAGATTGCATCCCAACTCAGTAAAACAACTACAAACATAGATCAAAATTTTGACAAAACTATATCAAGGGGTGTGTAGCGGTAAATAAATCTCCAAAATAAATAGCTCTGTAAGTTTCCGACATTGGATGCTGACCAGATTAGTTTTAGTGGACTCACCTAGCTGAAGGCGCTCGGTCATGCATCCGCACCAGATCACGTGTGGGAACGCCGTGCTCAACATCTAATGCAATCGCTAGCCAGACTAGATCAGACAATTCCGATATATTGGCAATCGTCAAATACAACTTCTGATCTCCTCGATTCTGTCCTTTGAATTCTCTTGGTGGGTGTGAGTTACATTAGGTGTTACTGGTAAGAGCGTTGTCAAACACTGAATACCTGTTCCATCTTCAGGTGGCTACAAGAATCTGGGTAATAATGTTGTTCGTTATCTTGTGTGGCCACAAATAAATCCATTAAGCGATTAAGAGCGGAAGAATAATTGTTTGAATTTTATAATGAAAGCATGTAAAACTATGGTCTCCTTCGTTATTAGTACTGCTCTAATAATAGACCTAATCCTAAAATTGTAGATTTGTTATTTTGTAACTGCCTAATCTATAAAGTATCAAGTGGAAGTCACATCATTGTCTACACTGATTCATCGTGTTGTAATCATAACCGGTATATGATAGAGAACACATTTAGGCTGGAGACAGAACAATATATTTAATATGAATAAAAGAGATAAGTCAAACAGCAGCAATCACGCCTGAAATGCTGAGCCCTGTCACCCGATGAATTGAATTCAATTCCTTCTTCCGCCTCCTCCACCATCGGGTTTTTCCCCGCGTTAAATGTTGAGTATATATTTTTCAAGTTGCCTCGTGTTCAGCTTTGAGGATTGGGTGGTTAGAGCCGTATGCTACTAAACTATTCTCCTATCGGAATCAACGTGATGCTGATTCGATACCAAACGTTGACATGCTGTCCATATGAGTTGAATTTCGAAAGAATATTCTCGCATTCATCGTTTGTGACATTCTCTTAGGGTTACATGTTGAAAGTCTATTTTCCCAGTTATCTCAAGTTCAGCCTCGATGATTTTGGTTAGGACCAATAACACTACATGTACGAACAAAGTAGCTCGAATTTGCTACTTTAAGGTCAAGCAAATAAAAATGCACAATGAATTTCCAAATGTGGTTAGCATAGATTCGATTTGTAGTGAAAAGGTGCAATTGTTAAACAAACATCTTATTTCTGCCGTTCCCATTTATTAATATACCATATAAGTAAGACCTGGGTACCGATTATGGACGAACAATTCTGAAGATGTGTTGTTCCTTTGTGTTTTTAATTTGTAGATTGCCAATGTAGGCCACCTATGTTGATGATTAGGGGGCCCATTCTAGTTGAACAGGAATGGTGTGACTTCCCAGAAAAAGTCAAAGTCACACCCCGCGGTTACTACACAACATGGGTTCACCATTCGTGGCATCTAAGACCTGCGGCAAATTCGATGAACATTCAGAACAAATATAACGATGTTACAGAAACGTGTTAGTAAAAATGGGCAAAAAACGGAGTCCACCCCCTGTCTCATACATTTGTTTGTGGTCTGAAATCGATTGATGTGTTATGACCATTGGAAGTATTCGAACCAATGTTTTGACTAAGAATTTCCGAAATAGTGGAATATAAGGAAGGTAGAACTAGATGAGCACAACTGAGCGCAATATATTTGGAATTCGTAATAAGCTTGCAGCCAAATACAAAGCATTCATAATTTGGTAAAAATATCACATACGTGTTGATTGTCCTTGACTTTAATGAAGATCGGTAAACTGTCTGGGATTTGCTGGACTTAATGGAACTCTCAGAAGTGAACCTGGGCGCTGACTTGGCGTATCAGAAACTTCAACACCTAAAGAAGGACACTTTTTCTGAAGCGGCTATTTGAAGCCAAACATAAAATAAATGAGAAAATTCACATTCAACATTTAACAGGGAGGGGAGGTCAGAAACGGTGAACTCAGGAAGAATATATCGATATAGTAAGGTTTGGATTTGCAGGTGTGATAATTCTGTGTAACTAATTTCTCTCCACACTAAATGTACTGTTCTGTGCCCGGAGTAAGTGTGTTTTTCAGAAGCTCCCAGCGACACAACTCTGGGTGTCACAACAGGATGGATCAGTCTGGACAGGGATGTGACCACTACGTAAGGTCTTACAGATCATGTAGTCACATCATGACTATTCTACAGTTTTGGGATTAAGTCTGTTATTCTAGCGGCAAAGATAAGAGTACCTATACCGACCTAGACTAAAATCCCTAAGTACAGCTATGCTTAATCTCAAGGAGATGGTTGATGCCGAAGTTCCTTGGCTTCTCAAAACCTTTTAATAGAGTCAATGATATGTCTTATCAGTAAGCTCAATCTGTTAGATGTCAGTTTACCGTTAACTGATTGGTTCTCATCTTACTTAAATAATCAACTTTTAAGGGTCAGAATAAACTTCACTTTTTCTCAGGGTACGGAATACCCTAATAGGGTCGCTCAGGGTTCAGTACTAGGACCTCTTTTCTTAATTTATATAGGTGACTCTTCGCAACAAACATCGACTTTTCGGTAGAACCTGACTCGACTTCAAAGTTGAGCAGATAACAATGAACTTCCGACCATTCGAAGTGTAAACTAGTCTATCTGAGAAATGTTGCAGGCTATCCCAAGTTGAAAACGATCTAGCAGTGTTAGCACCTTATGACCTAAAGTCCGAATCTAGTTACAAAGAAGACACTTTTTGAGAAAACCTTGCACTGGCAACGTTGTAGGGAATTTTTGGCTACCTCAGAGGTAGAGCTTTCCACTTGATCTTACACATTTTTATTGGACACCATTTAGAGTATGAAAATGTGGTGGTTACATCCTCACTCCAAAATGATAAAAAATACACTCGAACTTATCACTTCGAGGAATCAAATCTAGACCTAATGAGGAGCGCCTCAAATCATTGAATCTTCACCCATTCAAGTATAGGTGACTCAGAAGTAACCTTTTAATGACTTGTAGCACCTCAGACATTCCTGGGCATACCCTTAAATACCTACTGAAGCTCAGAGATACGATACTATAACGGACAGTAGACACGCCATTTGCACTTTACAAATGATCGAATTCTGGAATTTATTGCCAGCTGGGATAGTCCAAGCGACTTCCCAGGAGCCCTTTGAGAGTAAACTTGATATATTTTAAGGGATAAAAGACATCTTGCCACAATTTACCAGTTCCTTTTTCCCTCTTTTATCGTTAATATGCCTAGGTTCTTACTTGGAGGCATTGGTGGTCCATAGCTTCTAGATACAGTAGTTCGTTAAGCTAAGGCTTCTTCTGTTCCATCCAAAAACCTTTGAACCATTTGAAGGTCAGCATTCTTCACCTGAGTTACAATCTATACCGCTGATAATGAAAATCTGACCCGCGGCATTTCGACGGTGCGCCACTTCCTGCAAATGTTTCGAAAGTTGATTTTCGAGCCCAATAAGCTTTTTCAGAATGTAGATCTATTTTATAAAATTTAACAAACCTAAAAATAGGTTAAGTGCGTTCGCACTTTGAAAGTTCATGAATATTCGGCAATGGAGTTGTTAAAAAAGTACGAAATACCTGTTCCAAAGTTTGTAGTTGTTCGGAATGTGGATGAGGTCAGAGCTATTTGTAAAGAATTCGGTAGGTACATTCAATGCGTAAGATTTTGTTTCTTCACTTCTTCTGTTTAATTTGTTCTGGAAATATCTTAAAGTGTTATTATAGATGTCGTTAGTTAACTGTGATTTTCAAAGACATGTAAACCATAACTCCCCTACTTTAATTTTCGTGACGTTTTTCTCACCTCCTATAAGTCTACATGTTCACGCACTTTAATCACTGAGCAATTTAAAGCTTCTATGAGTTCAAACCAACCACTTTACGAAAATAAAGCTGGTCTCTTATCCCTTGGATACAGCACTTTAGTTAGCCAAGCTATTTTGAATATAGAGTGTTAAGGTCACATAAGATCGCATACTACCTCGTTAAGCTAAACAGTTAGGGCTATGTATTCTACTTGTGTTAGTGCAGACAAATTATTGGACACAGATTTTTATTTTTAACACGAGAAATTAAAGACAAATAGTCACAATCGCGTGCCTTGTCAACTAGGGGTGATGTGTCACTCTTTGTGTACAATGAGTTATTCTATGCCTTTACGTAGGGTATTGGTTGAGACCATCTGTTTGGTTAGACCAAGACTCAATCATTCCATCAAGAGGTTTATTACAAGTTTAATTTACGCCGGTTTATTAATTAAATCCATAAAATACCATTCGGATTACTTATAAAATGTATAGTTGTTGATAAGAAAGGTAGTTTTTTGATATTTAATTAGCGTTGATAACCGATTTCAAATTTACCATCACCATACTCAGGGACGTCATCAGCAACAACTTGAAAACTGATTTCTCTGAAAAATTATTGTTGAGGTGACAGGTTGATTACTAGGTAACCATAACAAGTCAGATAATGAGGCAATAAACCTTGATTAAATGAGTTAGATAAGACATGTATTACATGTACCCATCTACGGCTTACCTCGATAGGTGATATGGTCTGGTATTGGAGTAAGCTAGAAGAAATCTAGGGACTCCCAAACCAAAACGTGGCACCAGTCCATGACGTCATTGACAGTTAGGATAAGCTGTTAACAGGTGTAGATTACGTGGTTGCGTTCCTTAAAATTATCGTAACCAATCGTCAAAGACTGGGCGACATGGGTCAGTGGCGTAGGTGCATTCTATCTTTGTCTTGCCCTAAGACCTAAGTCCCGAATTTTCCTTATACCCCCTTTTTCAAGATGGTAATACCAATTGAATGGTCGCCACTGTGTCCGAATACACGATGCCGAACCTCTGCATCACTAACATGGTGTTGCCACTGGATGTCAGTGATCCTTTGGAGACGACGATGATCAAACGCAGAGTCATCTAATATTCTCAACTTGGAGAGACTAGAATCCACTAACATATGGCGAAACTGCTCTCATTGACGTGCTGTAGGTTCGATCTTTTACATCCAGACTAGTATCACAAAGGTATCAAAGATGGGGCAGAGTGGAATAAGCCTCTCCGGCTTTCACTATACGTGAATTGATCTCATCACTCACGCCATCACCGGCACTTACACAGGTACCCAGATACGCAAAATTCTCGACTACTTCTATCTTCTCACTACACAAAATGAGTGCAGGTTTAGAGTTCCCCCAGTTTTGTAGAAATAATCTGCACTTAGAAGGTGAAAAGCACATGCCATTATCTGTAGACACTGCTAACTGACTAAATGCAGATTGCTTGTCTTGAGTATCATCACACAGTAAGATGATGTCACTCGCATACTCAAGGTCAAAAAGTATTTTTCCGGGTAAAAGGTCCACACCACAGTTATCTACATCCATCAGAGCTGTTTTCAGAACGTCATCGATGGCAAAGTTGAAGAGGGATGGTGAGATTGGGCAACCCGATTTCACCTCACTGCCTGAGTAAAACAATGAAGAGAGGTGGTTTTACGCCCTCATTCTCTCTGAAGTGTTTGTATACAGTACTTTCATGATGTCAATAAACCTATCAGGCACATCCTCGTTCAATGGACTATCCCAGAAAACAATTTTGTCCGACGAATCGAAGACGGACCTGTTTTCAAGAAACACTACTATTGTTAGCTTGTAATAAGTATGACGACGTTCTAACACATAATAGAGAGTGAAGATATGATCGACACGTCATCGAGCAAAACGAACACCAGCCTGCTCCTCGTGAGTCAATCTTTCCTGAGTTTTGAGCAATCTACGAAATATGACGGAAGCCAATAGTTTAGACGCAATCGGAAGTAGACCTATCTCTCGATAGTTGTTGCACAGGTGATATGAATCCTTTTTAAAGACGGTAACAATTGTAGATTCCTTCTACGATATTGAGACTCTAATCTATCAAACGCACTTTTTGTAGGAGAACACTTGACCGGTGATAGAACTCATTCTTGACCGCATGCTTTCTGTAATCTTTCAGAGCCTAGACGGAGACGACGAAAAGACATAGTTTCTTAAATCGACTTCTCACTCTGATGGAGCTTTCTAATCTAACGGCATGTAACCGAATGTTGATGGAGATCCAATCGATCAGCGCTGTCTCAGATCTAGCGCTTAGTGCGACAGCAACGCCAGCAAAACCAGACGAAGATGTTCCCGGATAAACATACATGAAACAAGCTTTTTGAAGTGACAGATGGAGAGTGAACTTGTAGTGCTTCACTAGAGTCTTGAATACGGGTCTCGGATAAATAACACACATCAATGTTAAGGCTTTCTAAAGACAATTAATTTTATCTGTTGTCCCACCCGTATACGTGTGCGATCGTTGAAGAAAGCCAGTTTGAATGGTATGTTTTCAGAAAGGCAGGTTCAGAATTCGTATCGAATAGTAGCATTCAACTTTCGACCATTCATTAACTTGAGCTCTTTTAGATAGGGCACGGTTGTCACGATAGACGAGCTGTTGTGGAAATTGAAGAATGAAGGAATGTTCAAAGCTGGAGCAAAAGAATAGACAGGTGATGCAATTCAAAATAAAAAACTAGTATTAACAAGTAGTTTTGACTATGATTTGGGGGAGATGAAAATTCAATTGTGGATAGTCTTTTTATTCACCATTTAGTTTGTGTTTGGGGTGGGATACTGCATGGGTGCCCAAAACTGAAGCCGGTGGTCTTCTTAAAGAACCACTCTCCGAGCTTTTGACCTAAAGGTCTAGTCCACAAGACCAGTGGTAAACGTTAGATGCAGTTCTATGGTAGCCGTTGACCAACAACAGATTCCCTCAGGATCCTGGAGTACATGTACATTATTGGATTAGAATCAGTGTTTCCCAATTCCCCCATATGAATCCTCCGTACCCACCGACCTGGTTAAAGCGCCTGACATTCGCTTTTCATCACGAAGTTTATAGACTTGAAGAGTTATCGGACATAATTCAGAATATAATCCAGTAGGGGCCTGATTTTATTCTCCTTTTTTATAAACAATATTACGTAACATTTACGTTAATAAAATCTAGCCTGTTTTTGTGCTAATGTGAATGACATTCTCCAATACTTTTTATTTATGCTCTTATTATATAGTTTTATTCCTTTTATTTTCCCACAATATTACAATTCGGGTTTATGAAACATATGTCTTGGCATCTTATTGTACTAAACAGTCTCTTAAGCGCTATTAATAGAGTCTTGTTTCTTCGTTATGGTCCATGATGGATGAGATTTCGCACACAGCTTTGATTTAGTTTGTAATGTCCATCATAAATTATGAATTCTGCAGAAAAATCTACTTTAATTCATGTGTATTACAATTTAAAAACATATCACATCTGCTTGTTTGTCGTCTAATACAAAAATCCTGTTCAGTATTTTCCCCTATTTATCATGTATCCTTTTTTATTCAGGCATTTTACCTGAAAGGGAATTAGAAAATTCAGGTAAGGTTATATTATCCGTTATGGCATTCACATGTTTTCTGTTACTGCTCTGACGGTTTGCTACTTTTTGGCGTAAAATTCTTCCTTTACTTATTATTTCTTTTATGCAGTACGTAACAAGACTTTTTTCTTAAAAGGTGGTGATTTCTGTGTGTTTGTGTGTGTGCATTGAGCGTTTCAGCACTGTCTAATTAATAACAGCTCCAGTAATTTTGTATGACTATTATGTTACGCATTAATTATGTTTTGACACTTGAATGTAAAACTGGAAGGAACATCATCGGTGCAAATTTTAGTTATACTTGTAGGTAGTTTTATTGATACAACTCAAAGTGTATATATGTGAGGACAGTTAGTCTTGGGGAGATGTAGAACTGTCTGCAAAAAAGTATATATATATATATATATATATATATATGAGGAACTATCTAATCTACTTCATGAGAAATATATGATTAGACATTAAAGGCCTTACTAAATGTTTGTGAAATTGAATAGACTAGATCTATGTTAATATGTTGTTAAGCTCATTGTGAATCATTGTTCAAGTGTTTAATCGTTAAATGTCGAACCTGTTAAGTGCTTTGTTCAATTTGAATATTAGGTAGCGTATCTAGTCCTCATACTTATAATTTATCTGAAAAATAAATAATCTCAATCTTGCTATTGAGTCTTATTAAATTGGAAATTTCATTGAAACATAGACAGTACAATGTTCCTTGGAATATCAAGTTTTAAGGAGGCTTTTAATACAATGGCATTGGTAAATTTCACTTGTTAGTCACCAAACAAATTGAGCTATTAATATTTAAATGTTAAGGAATCCCAACTGTTCATCAAATGCAAAATTTCAAAAATTCTGATATTGGATAATACTTATAACTTCTGAAATAAACTAGATGCGTTAACAAATTCACAAGTAAGTGTCATTGAATGTTGTAAACTTTTCTTCTCAGTAGATTAGTTCTTCTCTTAGTTGTTGTGTGCTATATTGTTAATTGATTTTGATATTTTAAAAAAAGATTTTCTTCTGTTTTTTTGTACTTCATAGTGCCATCAATTTGTTGCATTTGGTGCATTTCCTTAACGCCCTTAATTGTTTACAAAACATTTTTATTATTAAATAAATAAATATATGGTTAACTTATGATGCTCTTGAGTATTTTAAGATGTTTATTCGATAATTTTGTGCATATTTTTACACCCAATGTAATAACAATTTTTTTAAAGATAAATCTGCAAATGAACAAGAAGACATTCACGTACACTGTGATCAGTCTGTCTAGATGTGTTTAAATACTCAACATAACAAAATAATAATTCAATAATTGATTTTTTTCCCTTCCTCCCCTTATATCTATATTCAACCATAGGTGAGACTACAGAGAGCACAGATATGGTGTTGAAAGCACAAGTGTTAGCTGGTGGCCGTGGTAAAGGTATTTGGGATAGCGGATTAAAAGGTGGAGTTAAAATTGTATACAAGTGAGTTGGATTGTTTTTCTTTCGAATTGGCGTGTTTGTTTATTTATCCTCAACAAATAGAGCTACCCTTTCATATTACAGCGCTGTGATATGAACTGACCATCTTTCTGTTTTTACCATTTAGTATCAATATCGCGAATAATGTGCACCGTATGAAAACTACACGGATGACATTCATGAAATATGTTCAAGCTACTTTAGGCCAGTGCTTCAAGATGGTGAAACGAATTAAATAGCTATCATCGTGTCTATGCACATAATACCGGACCTCTTAGTGGTTCTTCGGAGGAAACGGTGATCAAACGAAGAGAGTTGTTAATTATTTTCAGCTCAAAGGGACCAAGTTGTTCCACCAACAAAATAAAACTTTGTGCACTGAATACGAGATCTACTATAAACAGACTGATGAGAGGAAAGTGGTACAACCAACTATATTTTATTGGCGAAGAAACTCTGTTTCAAAGTCCAAGTTCATGAGAGAAGGTTGATAATGTACCTTTCGGCTTACAATATTTTAAAACTATAATGAAACAACTGACATTCCTTCCCGATTTTCATTGGTAATTTACTTATTTATGTATTTGAACATATAGATATTGGTACAAGGAGGCACCAAGCAGATATGCGCCACATAAATCATTCGATTTACGAGAGAACTGGGATACTACCCGGCTGCCCAAACCGAAGAAAGTGGTTTTCTTACGGGGCCACAACCTGAGCCTTTGACCTAAAGGTCTGATCCACAAGGCAGTGGAGCAACATAAGGAGACGCAGTCCCATGGTAACCGATGATCAACAATTGGTTCATAAGACATTTGTTCCCTCAGGATTCTGGAGCCCATGTGTACCATTGGTTTGGAATTAGGGTTCTCCAACTCCCCTAGGTGTATCCTCCATATCCACCAACCCAGTTAAAGCGTCGGATATTCGTTTTTCATCCTCTCAATTTCGTAAACAATACCCCCGCCACGAGAAGGCAGTGGGTAGGACTTCCCTGGCAGTGGTTCTATGCACGTGACCGCTTTAGAGCATCTCGAGAGGAAGGGTGGGCCCTACCCACCATCGGCTGTACCGGGGCATTTGAGGGCTATTGGTAATTTGATGAGTGTCAGTCTGCAATTGGGATTTATTTCTAGGAAACTATTCACTTGTTTACTTTACTTATCTTTCAACCTATTATCCGTATACATACGTTTCTAAATCGGGCAAATAAAATTGTCATTCATAGTTTCTCAAGGACTTGATATTGAACCCTTCATCTTTCAAGTATTGATAAACTGAATATGATAATCACACATTGTGCAGCAAACTTCATATACGTACACTGGGTGAGAATTCATAAACATATTTGGCTGTTCAAGTAGAATAAGTAGAAATCATACTAACTGTAAAGCCAGCATTATAACCTGTTGGAAAATTTATTATTCCTCAAAAAAACTCGACCTAAATCAGCTGTAAGGAAGCTTTTCCAATAGTCATCCCGTTGAATTTTTAAATCGCTCTGGTAGGATTCCCAAAGATTAAGCCTGCCGATAAGGTCTTAAGTGACTGCGGAATGAGTGATCTACAGACTAATTTACCACATTCGCCTATGATATCTTGCATAACAAGTGCGGAAGCCGTTGAATCATGCTCTATGTAACTTGAGCTCTGAATGACTGATTCCCAAGGATACGTTTTTACCTGTATCGTCGTCAGTGGTAGCGTTAAATTCTTAGCGGTTGGGGGCTGAGTCAAGAGTCATTGGAGGGGGTTAGTAGAAGTTTGATTTAAAAGTATTTTGCGTTGTGTTCATACACTGCACTCGCCAATTTATAATTATTTTCATTTTTCTAGCTAAAAACAGGTTATAAGATTGTCATCCAACCACATTATACTACTCAGTGGAATAAATCATACTAAAAAATAACCACTATCTGTTATTTCAGCCATTTCCTTTCTCAAACATCTCTGTAATATCATTTTAAAGAAGAATTATTTATTTCATGTTTGTTAAAGCATATTCAGTGCAATTACTTAGCCTGTATAGTAATGAATTTGATGAACTTCAAGTAATGAATACTTATTCTGATATATAACTAATCCATAAGAACTTTATAAATATTGCCAAGAGACTATCTTTTCAACACAACTGTTATTATGACAAGTGTGTGTAAATTTGTAAACATGACGGTAGGCATTTAAACAACTGTGAACACTTACCTACTTTTGAGATTGAACATTAGGGTTTGGTTAATTGTAGTTTACAGCTTTTAGACTTAACTTTGCCTGTAATATGTATACTAATCGAATAAACAATAAGTGCTCTTAATTTTTATATACACACTAGTTTTGGCGTTGGATTTACTTCCATACTTATTTGAAGAGGTATTATGATGACTGCTCCATTAAACAAAGAACCTCGAAAAATTAATAATCTTGCTTCAAAACAGTTGGTTCATTTTACGGATTGCAATGGCACAACGAGAGGATAGAGTTGACCCAAAAAGTGGTGTCCGACAAAGCTGTCCACTATCTCCATTTTTGTTCAATTTCGTAATAAACCTACTGCTAGATTTAAGTTCTCGTCGTCCGAGTTTTCGGAAATTGATCTTCCAGGAGGTCCACATATCGACTTAGAACACGCAGATGATATAGTCCTGTTTGGTGAAGACGCCGACAAAATACAGAGTCTTGATAGCATTGGGCATCAATGCCAGGATGTTTGGGTTGCGTTCCTCCCCCTCAAAATGCAAGTTATTGCTTCAGGACTGGTGTGCGTCAACACCTGAACTAAGGATAAGGAGTGGAGTAGTCGGACGCGCCGACAACTTCACTTATGTTGGGAGTCTGATCAGCTCTGATGGGTTGGTGTCTGAAAAAATCTGTGCGCAGATCCAAAAAGCTTGTTTGATTTTTGCCAACTTGTGTCACCTGTGGCGAAGGCGAGATATCCGTCTATTACTTAAGCGCCGAGTGCACTGTGCAGCAGTTCTGTTTTACTTTACGGCTGCGAAACGTGGCCATTAAGGGTAGAAGATACTCGTAAGTTGCTAGTATTTGACCACAGATGTCTTAGAAATATTGCCAGCATCTGCTGGAATCACCGGGTAAGTTATAGTGAGGTTAGACTCAGGGTATTAGGGAATGATGGTAAATCAGTTGATAAGGTTGTGAATCTTCATCGACTGAGATGGTTGGGCCACGTGTTACGTATGCCTGGACACCGATTACCAAGATGCACAATGCTGACTAGTGTTAGGGATGGTTGGAAGAAAGTTAGGGGCGGCCAAACCAAAACGTGGCATCAGTCCTTGAAGTCACTAACTTCTGGTTTGAGCCATGTTGGTAGATGCAGACTACTTGGTCGCGGTCCGCGTGACTATCGTAACCAATGGTTGGAGACTCTTGGTGACATGGCTCATAACCGATCATAATGGCGTAGGTGTACACACTCTATCTTCCTTTAAACGATGAGATTAAAATTGCTTTATATCTTTTTTTCTACCAACTGATTCTTTCTTCCCGTACTATATCCTTATATGCAATTTTTCTTCTATATTTTACCACTATTGAATCAACTACTTCTCTCTGAATTCGGTGTTCATTTTGTTGTGCTAATGAGGTGTGGCAACTTGGATCGATGCATATATGTTCCTGGTCCTACGTAGTAACTGACTGACTAACGAAAAGTTTGATACATTTGCTCTATATACTTCAAGTAATTTGGTCGTACATAGATTTAACATGGGATTTATGGAAACTAATAAAAGTTAATTCAACAAAAGGCCTAATTAACATGAAGTGATAAAGGAAAGGGAAAATTAATGTAAAATGGAAAAAATAGTTTTTCGCACTACTTCATGGTGTAAAGTGGATTAAAGGATTACCAGGGTGAAATCAAAGTTAGACTAAATTATTTTTGTGCACATAAAGAAGTTCTGGGTTTTATAGTGGTCAAAGTTTCTATAAATTTAAGAATTTATACACAGAGCTTTAGGTTCTGTCTTTAGAACAGTGTTATGACCTTTCCTTTAGTTCTTATCAACCCTTTTGTTATATCCGAGCGAAGATTAAATCACGAGTAACTTCTGAGACATATTAATTGACTAATATTGTCTATATATTCTTATGGTATAACTATTCAATAATTGGATTATGTATATTTATATTCCTCATATTATAAGCTTTATTTTGACCTATAATTTATTATTGTACGATTTAATGTTCTTAAGCTGTGTTCAGTTTATTGACTACTGCCTCCCACGTTCAGAGCTACTTTTTGGCTTTATTGTGTATGCATGTTATTTCCTATTTTATGGTGCGTTGCGGTCCGTCTGGTTGATATATAAACCCAGTATGTCTGAAATAAAGGATTCGATTCGATTCGCATAGTGGAAGCTGGTATTGGTGTTCTGGACTCAAGTGGACGGGCTAGGCGAACATAGGACTAATAAGGACACTAGGCTGCTCATACGGGTCGAACGTCATTGGTTTGGCACAGTGTGAAGATTGTATAAGTCGTATTTTGATTGGTAGACAAGTCACCTGATAACTACCCGGACATAAAGTCATAACACCTTTGATAATCGATACGGATTTCACAGGTTCCAGCCCCATTCCACCTACTTAAAACTGAACAGTTACATAATATCCCTAACCTTGATAAAACAAATGCGTCCCGAAGCTAATTTCCTGCTTATATATGTTTGTTGTATCTGTGATGAGAATTAGTTAGCTTAATAGTCTTAAAGTTTATTATCGAAATATTATAACCTAATTTTTTTATGCAATTCGAAAATACCAAGGAAATAGTGCTAAAAAATTTAGTAAAACCCAAATGTGACCACCTTGAGTGAATACAAAGTAATTATTTGTCAACGATTTACCCCAATCACTGACTATTGGGAAGACAAAAGCAGTTTGCGAAGAATATATATCTCTGATGAGAAAATAGCATTATTCATGTACATATTTCCTTTTCAATGATTAAGAATTATGTTTCAATACTTATAACCCACAACGAATTTCTCACTTAATAAATATCAAAACTGAATGAAATAATTCTCAGACTATACGATAGAATCTTATATATAACTAGTTTATAGATGAGTTGGTCAAAATTTCATAGAACGTTAAAATAAAAAATTTATTGAATTAATTATTCAGTTATATTGTTGCATGTAATAGGTAGTCAAGTTTCAATTTCAAATTGTTTATTTTTTTTTCAATTTCAGTGTAGAAGAAGCCGTAAATGTAGCTAATCACATGCTTGGTCATCGAATCTACACTGCACAAACCGGTGACACCGGCCAATTGTGCAATACATTATTAGCATGTGAACGTAAATATTCTCGACGTGAACATTATCTAGCTATTGTCCTAGATCGTTCTAGTGGTGGACCAGTAATGATTGGTTGTCAACAGGGTGGTGTAAATATTGAAGATATAGCACGTGATAACCCAGATGCTTTAATTAAAGTAAATCAGTAGACATTTTTATGGTTTGTACTTTGATTATGTAAATGTTGAATGTGAATAGTAAATAATTCAAATTCCTACTAGTAATAATATAAGTATCATAATTGTTGAACAATTTAGCGGCTATCTGTATTCAAAAGCTCAATGGATAACGAGTTGGGTGTTTGAAGTGAAAAACACCTTGGCTCGAGTTCAAATGTAGATACCAACACTGGGATGTGCCAGGTACATCCTACTGACAAGTCCCAAGTAGGGTTAAACATTCATCTCGAATTCTACCACTAGTCATAATATATCCCTTCTGTAATTGCTCTTGGCAACATATAGACCTAATGACTAGTTGATTTCAACTATAACTATTAATTTTATAGGTAAGTAACAAATTGTAGTTGGCACCAAGGATTAGATAAATATGACATTAGTGTTACTACTTAGTAGTCGGTGAGTATAAAAATCTCAGTCCCACAAGAGGCCAGTCATAACTTGGATTACCCAGTTGTGGTGATGTTTCTGACTGTGATACTGAGTAGCGTGGGTAGCATCAGTCGTCTGTTTAATAGTCTAAATAGTGACATAGGTTTCTGGGAAGAAATTGGAAATCGGTAAATACGATTGTAGATCTTCGACATCTGAGATGTTTGGGACGAGTTACGTATCCCTAACCACTGCCTATCCTAACATGCAATTTCAGGTTCAGTCTAAGTTGGAAAGAAGCTAAAGGCGGACAAATTAAAATGTGGTATCAGTCCATGAAGTCATTCACTATTGGTGTAACCTATGTTTCTAGATCCCAACTTCCTGGTTGCAGTAGTTATGATAACAATGACCAGTAGTTGATGTTGGGTGACATGGGTCAAAATCGATTACATTGGCTCAGGTTCATTTACTCTTCGTTTTCTTATGGATGTCGAGTTGCAGTATTTCTTCATACATACCTTTCGATTTCGTCCTGTCTTACCTTATTCTCAAGGTTTAGTCTTCCCTATTACCACTGGTAACACAGTTCAACTCCTTTGTCATTCATCTTCTTAATTTAATCTCATCGTGGTTATATAATGTGACAATTTGAGCTAACCTACTTTTATTGGACACTGTATCTGTTGACGTTGACTAATTAAAAACTGCTTGTTGATCGCTTCCAACCACTTAACATCAAATTATTACAAGTAATACAATTTGCGTAGAATTTCAAAATGATATTATTTATAAGTTTAAGTGACCATGATTTTACTAGGTATCTAATTGAAAATAATTTAGTTTAATATAATTTTCATCTCCAACTGTAACTTAATAACACTATGCAATGGCTTAGTGGTTAATTCATTCAACCTTCAATCATTCGATCGTAGGCTAGAACGTCCCCCTTACCTATTTTGGTGTGACCGATCGGATGGCATCATTAACTCTCACACTTGGAATGGAGCTCATATCTAAGTACTTGATAAATAACTTAGTTTATTATCCACTATTAATATTATGCATGTTTCATAAATTTCAGCATGAACTCAATTCAGTCGAAAGTCATAGGTGTGTGTACACTGATGAGTAGTGGTAGCAGTAGTAGTAATAGTAGTCTTAAAATATTAGATAATACAGTTATCCAGTGTTTCATGGTTTTTATAATACTTCTTTAACTGAATGCAATCCATGATGATTATTGTCAAAAGTAAATAAATAAAATTTAATAATGCACACACACGCGTGTACACGGTGAAACTACTGAATTCCAAGTTATTTTTTATGAGTATAAACACAGACACACACATACTTTGTAACAGGTTTAGAACAGTGTGCATATTTCTGTTACTACTTTCTGTCCATTATCAACAGATAACGCAATTCGCTTTCTTTCTTCAATCTGATGGATCTATTCCAATTAAATCATATAAACTTGAGTTACATATACAAGAACGAAACACTTTCATCAACGTAACGTCACTGTGATAACTGTACTTTAGTATGATCAGCTATATAGTCGTGTTTTCTTGACTCATCAGTGCATCCACTTACCTTCTAAATAACTTAATTTCCTCCTGTGAATTGTGTATTTGTGCTCCAACGCGTCGGTGGTTCAATGGTAGAATCCTCGCCTCCCACGCGAACGGTCCGGGTTCGGTTCCTGGCCGACGTAGACCGCCTCGCCCCTGAATGCCCTGGCACGGCCGATGGTGGGGAGAGCCCACCCTCCCTCTCGAGATGCTCTAAGGTGGTCACGTGCATAGAACCACTGCCAGGGAAGTCCTACCCACTGCTTTCTTGTGGCGGGGATATTGTTTACGAAATTGAGAGGATGAAAAACGAATATCCGACGCTTTAACTGGGTTGGTGGATATGGAGGATACACCTAGGGGAGTTGGAGAACCCTAATTCCAAACCAATGGTACACATGGGCTCCAGAATCCTGAGGGAACAAATGTCTTATGAACCAATTGTTGATCATCGGTTACCATGGAACTGCGTCTCCTTATGTTGCTCCACTGCCTTGTGGATCAGACCTTTAGGTCAAAGGCTCAGGTTGTGGCCCCGTAAGAAAACCACTTTCTTCGGTTTGGGCAGCCGGGTAGTATCCCAGTTCTCTCATAAATCGAATGATTTATGTGGCGCATATCTGTTTTGTGCCTCCTTGTACTAGTGTTTATGTGTTTAAATAAATAAATATATATGGCGTGAACTAATCGAGCGTGTTGTTCATCGCGTTCCTCATGGGAGTTCCGTCATTCTTCGTGAGGTTGATGGCTAGCAAAATATCGCTACTGATCCAAAAGTCTCCCTTGATGCTGCTTGTAGTGCAGGCGAAATATCTGTCCGTCAACCAAGGATCGAACGTACTCTTTAGCAATCAGATATGTATCATCGTGTGACTTTAAAATATAGTTTGTGAAAGTATAAAAAATACATTGACTGCATACATTAAATCCTAGATATATCTTTAAAACATTGCTCACATTTTGCAAAAATTCGTAGTGAGTGTATTGTATGAAATCGTTATCGGACATTACTGTAAAATAGTCACAAACTCATTATCATTAAACAGAACTGTTCAATGCACCATCGTTTCCAATAGTTCTGCGACTTTTTATTTGTAACAAATATCTCCAGGAAACATTTTAACCAGTATTCAATTACTATTCTTTTTGAAAAAAATTTATTGTACACCTTTTAGATTCCAGTTGATATTAACAAAGGTTTAAATAAAAAAGATGCTTTATTTATGGCGCATAAATTAGGTTTTACACATCCAGATGAAGCAGCTGTATACATTGAACGACTTTATAAACTCTTTGATTCATCCGATTGTACACTGTTAGAAATTAATCCAATTTCTCAAGATATAAATGGAAAAGGTATGTGTTGTTAAGACTTTTCTTTCTTGATTTGAATATTGTTTTGTCACTTTCCTCCCTCCTCTCTCTATCTCCTCGTGCTATGTTTTTTCGAGTTTTTATTGGTCTGTTATTTTATTGAAATCATGAGGCGATTTGCGTTCGACAACTGTTGGGAAGCTGAAATTACTAAATGGCCATTTCGTCCTAGTATGGGACTTCCAACAGTGTATATTCACAAACCCGCAATCTTGAATCTGACCCAGAACCTTCGGTCTCGCTCATGAACTATTAACCTCTAAATCACTGAGCCGGGACCCAGTGGTTTACAAGTCTAACTTCAATCAGACATGATGATGACCTTGTGTGAATCCTTAACGAATCTGTATACGTTCGATTTAGAAGACGGTTAGTTAGTTCTCTGAGAAATAATTATTAGAATCGTGTTTACCATGTAGAAGAAGGTGATCATACATAGTGAATGTTCAAATTTTTGATCAATCTCTTGGTATTTGAACTTGGATATAGACCATACTATTGACGGTTCTCTAAGCTTAAGTTGAACATCAGTATTAATATCAAAGCCAATCAGCTGATGAGCAACAAATAGAATAAGACACCTTCCCTATATTTCTCTCCCATTCACTATTCAAAATATATTCTATGTTCTCAGCTAATCTCACGTCTTTGAATGCTAAAAGGAGAATATGAGAAATCAACGTTTAAATGCAAATTTCTTGTCGTATTAACATATGAATATACTTGAAACTGAATTTGAAAAGTGTATGTACGTGAAAAAGACGACGGTTATGCCAATAATTCTTCTTTTCTCGCATCTGTATTTTTTTCTTTTATTTCTATGTTTGAACTAGTTGTTTGTATGGATTGTAAGATGAATTTCGATGATAATGCTGCATTTCGACAGAAAGAAATTTTTGCACAACGTGATTGGTCACAAGAAGATGAACGTGATGTAAAAGCATCAAAGGCTGGATTAAATTATATTGGTTTAGATGGAAATATTGGTTGTTTAGGTAAGCTGTGATAGCAATCATGATAGATATTTGTTTTACCTATATTTCACTTATTGGAGTGTTGTTATGTATGATCTTAGCTATTGTCACAATGTAATGTTCGGTTTTGCATATCATGATGACTTGATTAAACTATATTAGGCGAGATATTCCTTCCTTTAGATCCTACCATATCAGATAAGTTAGTTAGAGAACAGTAGAACTGAAAACAACGTACTCATGGTTCGAGGGAGATGTTATACACTTAACTGTACTGTGATGAGAGACGGCGGCAAAGTGTTTCCCTTGGACAGCCAGCATTTGTAGCAATTCGATAGGAGGGGATAAGAAAAAGCTAGGCATTAAAAAATCACACTTCAACTTGCCCCATGGATTCTTTTCGCTAACGATAAAGCCTTAAAAGTACGAAGCCAACGCATTTATAACTATTCGAAAAAAGTCTATATTTGGTCGACCTCAAGCAGTTATTTATTGGGCTTTATAACCGTTTTCCCAGATTGTCAAGATTACCCCTAACCCAGTTTTATTTTCAGTTACCCCAAGAAGAAATATCTTTCCATGGTATATGTGACCAACCGGGAAATGATACCCACCACCCTCATAGTCCTATTAGTGTTGTTAAGTTATACAGTCTATACAAAATAATTATTATTAAAATCAATACGTAACTTGACCTTTTAATGATTTAATTACTTTTGCATAATAAATAATTGCAATTAAGACAAAAATATTAGGAAATAATTACAATTACACATACACTGAACAATAATAAATGAAAATTTGGTTGATTACCATCGTTCATGGATTAATAGAAAAATAAAAAAGCAGACTCATATAAAAGTTAAACCGAGTAAATATTCAAAGTACAATTTTGGTTGGCTAAATTTTCAATTATTGGGCACAATTAACAAGCTGATGTCAACATTGTTTAGAGCTGTGTAAATCAGTCTATTATTATTATTATTATTATTATTATTGTTATTGTTATTATTATTATTATTATTGTTATTGTTATTATTATTATTATTGTTATTATTATTATTATTGTTATTATTATTATTATTATTATTATTATTATTATGACTGTTGAAACCTATCCAGTCAATCATAATCAATGTGGAACGCATGGAACAAATATAGATTAGACCATGTATCCATACCACATTAGCTTATTTAAAAAATGGTCTGATTATCCCGCTGTCGATATTTTTGATTAAAGTTTGCTCACAAGTGGATGGTTATGCGGACTTAGTAGTTCAGTGGATAGCGCGATGAGCGTTTGAAATGAAAGGTGTACTGGGTTCGAATTTCAGTATAAAGTATTGTAGATCACCAGCGTGGATTATCTATTTCGAATGATTGGAGGTCAACTCGAGTTAGACGGGAATGGTGTGACAAACCAGATAACTTCAAAGTCACACCTCACAGTCAACATCTAACGTGGATTACCCCTTCGACGTGTCAAGGTACTATGGCTGCTTTGAATACCGTATAACACAAAGAACATTATTATGCAAATGTATTGGTAAGAATGAGTACAGAAAGAATAGCGAGACCACCACCGCATGCGCCAGTCCATGGCATACGATTAACTGATGCGCGTTGGTTGTTCTTGTCGAGAGTCGATTCGTTCGATATTCAGTGACACAACTGCCGAATGAATTAGCTAAGGCTCGGGGATATAACACTGGCTATACAGTATCAACTCTGGGATGTAAAAGGTACATCTAACCGACTAGTCTTAGGTAGAACGAAATGCTCATCTTAGATTTCACTAATGACCACAATCCATCTATTCTATAAAAAATCGAGACTATAGTTCTGAAGAATGCCTGATCAGAAGATAATCGGTTGGTCATCTTCAACATAGCCTGACACAGATGCGCGTTGACAACACTGAATAGTGAGTCTGTGGAGCAGCGATTTATTGGTTAAGGCATTTGAATTTCGGCTACTAAGTTTAAAGTGCGAACATTGTCCTACCTACTTCGGTTTTGGGAATCGAGTAGTATCATTAACCCTCCCACTTAGAATATAACTTATGATCCAAGGTGTTCGCTCTATGATTACTGAACTCCTTGTAAATTCCCTACTGCCTCTTGTTTTTCAACAGACGTCCATTTATTATAATAATTATATATATATATATATATATATATATATATATATATACTGGACACTTTCTTCTACATACTACGAATGACGGTGGAAATCTCAGTAAATTTTATGATAGCATTATGAATTATATCAAATGAGTTGAGTTTCAAGGGATAATGATGATCCAATAACGAATGAATGTCTATTGTAATATCACGTTGTAAGCTCAAAACATCGATACAACATAAGAAACTGTTCGCTAAATGAATTAAAATACACCACAATCCATATGTATAGATTTTTTGTTTTTTTGTACGTATCCTTCGATTTTTTTTATTTTGTACCAAGGTTGTCGTCACGTGTCTAGATTCTTCTTTTTCTAAATGAAACAAATCGATATCACCCTAAATTTGACCTTTTTTTTCTGAATTCTAACAAATCGTTAGTTTTCATTATTTCACATCATTGATGGACTTTAACTGTATATAAGCATTTGGAAACTAGATAACCTTGATCGGCTAACTATGCCATCTTAATATAGCACTCATCAATAATGCACTTCGATGACTCCACCCTGTGTTGAACCCAGTTTGTTCAGTCCTCGCGGTTGTCTCTTTTCTTTCATATCACTAAACTGGTAACATCCAATGATTTATATTTCTAACTCGAGTCAATTCACAATATTACTCATCCATTACCCAGTGCTGTTTGTTAGTACACTCTCGCACATCCGACAGGGCTGAACTCCTCTAGTCACTGAATTACCTTTTGAAAGTAGTCACTAGTGCGAGTATATAATCATTGTCAGTGAACAGGGCGTTATGTGGAGATTATCCAAATTGGTAGATTACATCATGCACCGACCTTAGACAACCATAGAAAACAAGATGGTAACACTAGACAATCAGGTGGTTCGTCTCAGTTTATGATATCTCTTTGTGGTGCGCATTGACGAATCTATGTTATTGAGACCCGAAAATTCAAGCAATTTTATTGTTTCCTTTTTAATTCGATATATATATATATATATATCGTGATTCTACCATCATTCTGATTATATTTTCATTTTGATACTCCAATAAATCTTTTCAGTTAACGGAGCTGGTTTAGCTATGGCTACTATGGATTTAATTCAATTGCATGGTGGTAATCCAGCGAATTTTCTTGATATTGGCGGTGGAGCGACAGCTGCTCAAGTGACTGAAGCTTTTCGTTTAATCGTATCTGATTCGAAGGTCAATGCTATACTAGTAAATATTTTCGGTGGTATTATGCGTTGTGATGTGATTGCACAAGGTATTGTAACAGCTGCTACAGAATTAAACATAAAAGTACCAATTGTTGTACGACTTCAAGGTTAGTGATTTATTATTATTTATTTATTTATTATTATTATTATTATTATTATTATTATTATTATTATTATTATTATTATTATTATTATTATTATTATTATTGACATACCATATATTCTGAAGGTAAGGCGATTTCGCGCAAATTTTTCAAGTTTATTTTTCATCATAAACTCATCAGTTAGTTGGTGAATCAGAGGTTTCTGGGTCCGAGTCCCGCGTGCGGAATCGTGAATGAGCACTGCTGAGGAGTCACATACTATGATGAAACGACCGTCCAGTGCTTCGAGGTTTTCAGTGGTAGTCCAATATTGATCGGTTCACGATCTCAATATTTATCATTTTGCTGCATTGTAATAAAGAGTTGCAGTGGTTTGTCTTGATTAAAACACTCATCTCTCAACCCATTTCATTGGTTGTATGTGCGAAATTCTTTCCGTCTATTATTTTAATTTCATTAACTGGATAGTATTCAGTCAGCCATAAGCAACACAAGACTTGAGAGAGATGTATATCAGTTCAAGTTGTAACACCATAATAGTACAGTAAGATTTCCAGATTTGTGGAAGTGGTGGTAATTAAAAAAATTTAAGCATATTCAATATAATCCAAGAGGAAAAAATAAGTTCTAGGAATAATAAAGTGCACGATTATTTTCTAAAATCTCAAGATCTTAGTAAAGACAAAGAGTGAATGCATCTGCGTCATTATGACTGATTTCAAGTGATACAACTCAACGTTTTCACCAACCACTGGATAGTACCAATTGTTAAAGAAGTAAAAATAAATGTTCCTTCATACTCCAAATACACAAAATTATATACTTGGTTACTAAGGTGTATTTGATTTTTAGTTAGTACTGAGTTTGTTTTCTCTACATTTAGGTACATATATTTATATTCACCTAATTCCACAATGTATCACTTATGTACTCTACACATTTTTTATACATTAATTCTACATAGAATACCGTATACGAATGTTGTTATTCTTAGCAAGAAATATAATCTTTTATAATTTCAAGACAGTTTAATAAAACATAGTCATAGTATAATGAATGACTGTTGGTGGAAAAGATTTGTAGCTCAGATGGATGATTTTATTGGAGTTTTGTCCTCTGAAATGGATGATTTGAACGTGGAGCTTTCATTGTTCTTATAAACAGCATCATCAGCTCAAACTTTTCTCATCATGGATAAACATAGGACCAAGAATCAGATCAAAAGGAAATACAATCGATAATAAAGGGGTAAATAATGACAGGTTAAAGTTCAACAATAAATAATGACGATCGAGGTCTACAGGACAAGTTGGGAGTGATATGTGAAGAAATTCGAAAATTTCACTTCTACTTGAAGTTCGTACCGATGATGTCGTTCAGAAAAACAATGAACAGCTCTACAACCAAACCATCCAGCTCAGAGAATTAAACTCCACTGAAACGAATCATAAAATTAATGGTATCTTGATATTGTTTTACTAGGCAACCTTATATAAAAATGTTTTTTTGTGATTAGTTTAAAAACGGTTTGTGAAAATTGTCAAATTTCACTGACTCATTGTAATCGAACAACCGTTAATACTCATGAAACACTAAACAACTGTTTTATCCTAGTTTGGGACTCTTCATTTACAATGCACATCCACTACGGATCGAATGAAAGATTTTCAAGTCTCAAAGTAATCGTTTAACGTTTAGATTAATTAACCGGTATCTAATAGTGTTTCTATATCTATCTTCAATCAATTCACAATATTTTAAAACCATTTTTCACTGGTCATTGATATTGGATGATTGGCTTATCATCCAATATAATTGAACTTCATCAGTTATAGCTTCTTATTAGAACTCAAGGAATAATCACCTTTTGAAATCAATGACTAGTGAGCACATGATTTCTATGTAAGTATGTATTATGCTAGTCATCTCGAGTTATTTTTTTGTCAAATGGAAGTAATTATTTTGCAAAAAATATCCCTTAATACATTTTAATTAGTACTATTTATATTATTATTGTTTTCTTTTCATTTTCACAATATATTTTCCCATAAAACTAACAAACAAACAAAAACCAATCACTATTAATAACATCAATAAATAAATAAAAATACTAAGGGACTAGAGTTGAAGACGCTAAAGCAATTCTTGCTACAAGTCATATGAAAATTCTAGGTTGTAGTGATTTAGATGAAGCTGCTCAAATGGTATGTTTCATTTCAGAATTTCGTTGTGTTTTCCTTTATTATTATTATTATTATTATTATTATTATTATTATTATTATTATTATTATTATTATTATTCATACATAGCTGGTATTTCTATTGTTAGTTGAATAAAAGTATAATGTTTGGGATGAACTGGTTGGTTAGTTTGTTCTCTTAAAAAATGTTCACATAAATTGGGAACTCTTCATCTCAGTCAATAAGTAGAAAGTTTATGATTATGCAAAAGTGTATTACTAGATTTCCAAATCTTAATTTCATAGAAATCTCTCTCTCTACGTATCTGGCCTGTCGTATGCCCTGATGGTGTTCTCGTCACTTTCGGGTTGCCTGATCTGCCAAGGGCAATGGGACACTGCATGATACTATTGTTGTGTGCTAGGTTCGAAGAGAATTGTATGCTATATGCATGCAAATCTACCCCGTTATTGTTCCTATCTCTTTACGTAACCTCATCAGTCTGTGTGTGTGGTTCGAATTTATCCACACACACTAAATGTTTCTTTCTAAATCTTTCTCATAAGTCATAAATAGTTTTGGTTTGAAAATTTATCATCTCATTTTTCAAATTCTTTGTTCATACATTCGCTGAACAATTATAAAGATGAAACGATAAGCGAAGAACTAGCGTGGAGACGATTTGCAGCTAAGGTGGATGATCGTGGTGCTGGTTTGAGTGAGACTATAATTTATGGACGACCTTTTAGCGAATCTTAAGTGATCTTGAGGAAAGAATTCTTAACAATTTTAGGTATTCTAAGCATTATCTAAAAAGGTTTATTTTGATCAGACATTTTATATTTTGGAGGATAAAACTAGTAATAGTAAAGTATATGGATGAATTTAAAATAAGCGACCATTTAAGCCAATCAGATAAAAGCTTTTACAAAGAAATAACTTTTACAGAGAAGAAAAAACAGATTTCACATAATTCATGAATGGTTTAAGATTATATAATGGTTTTTCCGTCTGTAACCCGAGAAAACGACTTCATACAAATTGGCCCAAATGCATATGAACATCCGTATTCGCGAACTGCTATAAGGAATCAAGAAGATTTTCACAAATCCCCAGATCATTTCGGATTACAGTTAAGATTAAAGGTTTAGGGTCAAAATTTCGGAACAGTTTATTTACATGTTATATGCATTCTACATAGGAAAGATTGATACGTTTAACACTATTATTTCTACCTTATGATGGAAATACTTAATTTTTCGTCATCACTTTAACGTTCCGAACTCTACATAAAGGTATTTTTACTAGTAGTCTTACGTCATGTAAAGTGGAAGTCATTCATTTTTGAATTTCTCATAAATACTTAACAGTCTTTTCCTCAATTCAGATTGGATTGTTCATTATGCCCAATAACTAAAACAGGTGACCAATCAAATTCCATCACTTTGACTCAGGTCTAATCTCAAGATGACTTTATCTTTGCTTCAGTACCAAATCGATAAATAATTTATAATCTTTTTTTATTTACATAGACATCAATTTCAATTTGTTTATGTTATCCCATCCCTCATTTGTTCGCCCATATTTGACAGTTAATGTTTGCACTGAATTGGAAGTTTGCTTAAATCTTTATAGAATAATGTCATTTTGTTTACCAAGTACATTAGCTTATGTAGACGGAACTTTGTGTCATAATCTAGTTATTTTAAAAGTTAATGATACACTACCTCTCGATCACTGAAAACGACAAAGTACATCAGGACGGGATTTAAACCTGTGATCTTGTTGACTAAAAGTCGAGAATATCCCAAACTACCAAGCCACCTTTTTACATTCATAGAACGATTCACTGATAGTCCAATTTCAACTATCCAACTTAATTAGCACTATGTACTCCATCGTTTCAGAGAACCATCAATATTATTACACTGTCATGCATATAATCTGTAAATGTTAGCAATTTATTTATTTAGAATTCAAATTACCATCACATTGTTTACCCTCACGTTTTTTTCGGAGAAATAAACTATTATTGTGTTATGTAACTTCGCTTATTGCCTTTATTTTTTCTTTTTTTAATTTCTCAGTCTGTTAAACTCGCTAATATTGTTCATTTGGCTCGTGAAGCTGCTATAAATGTGAAATTTGAACTGCCTTATTAATTAATAATGTGATTATAGTAATATTATTACAATAAGCAAAGATGAATAGTTCGAAGGAATGGGGACATCACGTTATATTGAATGGTGATGAATCCAGTAGTTCGGTTTATACTATTATTATTATCGTTATTACTATTATTATTATTATTATTATTATTATTATTATTATTATTATTATTATTATTATTATTATTATTATTATTATTATTATTATTATTATTATTATTATAACTTACTTCCGAAAGATAGCAGTCATTGTGTGGTCTATTGAATTCTGTTTTGTCATATCCTTTTGTACGAATGAATGTACAATGACGGTAATGGGATTATTGTTTTGTACGACAGATTTAAATATCTACTGCATTACGTAATACATTGATTTTGTTGCATAAGAATTTCTCATACTTCGATAGAAAATCCTTAACTAAACAATCACTTATTATCATTGTATTTTGGTTGCAGTCAGCTCAACGACACCACCCACATCACCCCTCCACACACACAGTTTATTTTACGTTGAAAACAAAGAGTATACAAAACTTCATTTTCAAAGTATAAAAATGCTAGTATACCTACCATACAACTATTTTGCCAGAAGAAAAAGATGAATTCAGATCTTTATTCGACTTAAAATATCGTTTATCTCTATTGTTTTTTTTATCTTTCATCGTTATTCACTATTAGTTACATATACTACTATTTGTTGTCCTGTGATAGTAGTAATAAATGGTATTGCTCGGAGATAATTCATGTTTGAATTTCTTTTCATTTCTTTGTATTCGTTTATAGACCTACAATCAAGTGTGTATATGTATCCGCGTACAGAGGGAAGTGATTACTTCAGTTTTCTTTTTCCTCTTACTCTTTCATTTGCACACCGTCCAGATTCATCCCCACAGGGACACTGTCATCCATATTTCAACTGTTGACTTTTCGAAGGTTTTGATGAATTTTTAAGAAAGACCATGTAACATTATTTGATAGTCCTTCTTCAAACATCTTTAAGAATATTAGCTAGATGAATATATTAGCAGGGATATGAGGATCAAATATATTTCTTTCAGATATCCTTTCATTTAATCATCCCGGTTTACATGAATAACATATACTCGCTAAGGTTTTGAACGTCAATTGACGGTATGTCAAAAACAAACCGTAGTAAAGTTAATTCATCCAATGAGTTTGACAAACCGGGAAGCCTAGAAAGGTACGGCGTAATTTCGCTATTTGATATAACGATCAATAAGTGTGATAGATCTCTATTTCATTTACTGACAAGTGGCCTACAAGAATTATATCTTACAACTAATTTTTTTAAATCATGTTTATTCATGTGCAATGTTTTACTAGTAAGGAATAACCAGTCACTAATTAGTTCAATTTCTTAATATTCGTTCCTTGAGGGGAGCTTTGCGTCAATAATTCAGTTTTTATGAATAGCTATCAGTTATCCACATTTCATTAGGAGGCCTCAATAATTCTTTGAAAAGGTTTTCAGAACATAGGAGAACACTCCGACTAATCAGTGTTTTTTGGAAACTTTCAAGAGAATTCTATGGAAACGACAGTCTGTGTTGTAATTATCCTATCGGGCAGTCGCCGATCTTGTTACCAATTTTAGTGTATTTTTCAGACGCTCAACGTCACATTTAGTCAAATAATTACCTAGATCTGTGCATGAACTAACCTTGGAAGTAAAGCTTCATCTACCACTTCCTTTTGCTCTTTTTGTTCAGGATTCGAGAATACAAAATATCTGGGGGCTAGAAAGCAGGTAGGAAGTCAGTGTCTAAGCTTTCGGTTACTTGACGTATCACACTTAATTATCAAATTAAGCGATCGGTCGCACATTCGTACACAAATACTAGTGTTATTTGCAATCATACCCAACGTAGAACCCTAGCTCAAGTTCCCACACCACATCAGCACATTGAGACGTCCGACTAAAAGTAGTACCTGTATTAGTGGTATTAGCAAAAACTAGGTATCAGTAATATTATTCTAGAAAAAAAATATGAATTCGTGGAGTAGAAAGAGTATCAGATGAAATATTGAAGTTCGTGGATGCTTCTGAGCCATTTCACCCAATATATGTAACCATTGATTTTGTGATATTCGTGCGGACCCTAACTAGGTATTATCCATTCACTATTGACACGGTTCAGATGAACGCTAACTGATTTCATAAACTAATATCACGTCTTAGTACATACATATTGCTAACAAAAACTGATTGAGGTTCAGTCGCTAACATCAACAACAAGATAAATTACGCCCTTACTATCAATATTTTTGAAAAAAAAAGATTCCTGAAGTTATGACATGAATCATAACCATTAGCAGACACAATAACGTTGACATAAAATCAACCAAATAATGAAAAATAGAAGTTGACAAGTAAAGCAAACAGGTAGATGAAATATGTAGAAATCCTAAGAAAAAAGAAGAACAAAGCACACTTAGGTTAATGCTTCGGTGTACAGCCGAACCGATTACGATTGAAAAAGCAACTTAGAGGTTATGGTGCATAGAACCAGGATACTGACCGTGGATTGTTTCAACATGAGACTATTTGTGTCGCCTCTGAATGGTAACGTAATATAAACTCGCTTTCTGGGTGCCAGAAGCGTCATAGGTCTAGTCGTATTGCAATCCTTTCAGCGGTTTATGAAGTTCAAAGAATAACCATTATTCACTAACGTATCAGTCAAGAGCTTCGTCTCTACTTAAATTAGCTATCAACTGGACATTTTATGTAGCCCAACTTGTCATTATCAAAAAAACAAGGTCTATGTTTCACCAAACAGCACGAAAACGATTGTGTCACATCCCACTGCGTCTATCATTTTACATGTATGTGTGGAAACACGTACATAGGGAGGAGCAATCGTGATTTGCAATTAAGGGTGGGTGAACATATACCAAAATGGTTGCAGAATCAGATGAATTCCAATGGTCGAATAAGATCACATGATAGACAGACATCATCCTCCATTGCGAAACATTTGATTGAGACGGGTCATAAGGTTGACATCAAATCAGCATTTGTAGTGTTATACGAAAGCTTTCAAGGATGTATACTAAGGTTTATCGAATCCTTGGTTATACGGAAATCGAAACCCCCTTTATGTGTTCAAAAACAATTTGTTCTTACACTTAACCTACTCTTGTAATACTGATTTATTATTCAGAGTGGTAATCACTTTTGTTTTTGTGTACTTTTTTTCTATGTTACGGCTTACCTTTAATCTAGATATCCGTCTATCAACCAAAGGACGGGTTTACTGCGCAGCAGTTCGTCCCGTCCTACTTTATAGCAGTGAAACATGGCCGGTAAGAGTAGAGGATATTCGTAGGTTACTAGTATTCGATCATAGGTGTCTTCGAAACATTTCTCGTATATCATGGGACCATCGAGTAAGTAACACAGTTGTTAGGAAACGGGTACTAGGTAAGGATGGCAAATCAATTGATGACGTAGTGAAACTTCATCAGTTGAGATGGCTGGGACACGTGTTACGTATGCCCAACGACCGACTACCTCGACGTGCTATGTTCAGTGGTATAGGAGTAGGTTGGAAGAAAGCTAGGGGCGACCAGACCAAAACATGGCACAAGTCCATGAAGTCACTGACAAGTGGACTGAGTCATGTTGGTAGGTGTAGACTACCTGGTTGGGGACCGCGAGATGATAGTAACCGATGGTTAGAGACCCTGAATGACATGGCTCAAAATCGTTTGCGATGGCGCAGGTGCATCCACTCTTTGTGTTCTCCCAAATTATAATCTTCTGAATTCTTCATTTCCCTTTTTTCCCCTTTCCAAATTTATTTCACTGTATTATACTCTTTAAATAACATCTCCGAACCCTAATCTTCCCTACTACTGCTTATACTCTTGCTACCTCTACCACTACGGGATTTGAATCGACCACTGCATCTGTGTGCTAATGTGGTGTGGCAACTCGAACTGATGTACATACGTACGAAGTTCTATGTTGTTACTGACTGACTGACCTTTAATCTGTGTGGTGGACCTCTTAATTTTCATAGAACAAATGTCTTAACAAGTATATGTGTGATCAGATTGTTCGAAATGTATTGCGCAAATATATCACATAATTCTGATAAACTTCGTCTTCTTATTGCATTATCGAAATTTATCAATGGGACTAATTGTTTTAAATATTATGTAATCGTTATCATTGGTTCATAAACTACCTTGATTGGTTTAATAATTTCATATATCGGTAATAATTAAATAAAAGTGCAAAACAAAAAAAAAAACAGTAATTCCCTTAATGGGTATGTTTCTGTTTTGCACTTTAAACTCTAATTTCATATATGCATATAAATATTACTGTATATTAGAGTAAAGCCTGATGAAGATCTAATCGAGAACAATATTGTTCAATTATGTCTATGTTGTTCTAAAATGTAATTGTCTCTTTCATCTTTATTCACAATTTGAACGAAGACTATTCTTTTCGATAAATTCTCTTCAGGTTCTACAACTATACATCTAAATTAATAATCCAAAAAATGGCCAGGTTACAGGTAAAGTACACCCGTTTAAACCATATGAATTTTCAAACAAAATAGAATAAAATTGTTAGTGTTGGTATGACTCATATAGAATGTTAACTTGAATCTGTATATATTCTAAGTGAAAATTAAAGATCCATGATCAGAATAAATATGGGCCAAATAGGGTGAGAGAGAAATAATAGTGCAATTACAAGTCGATCAAATATTTAGTGAAAGATTATATTGTGTAAAAAAATTATTAGTAATGTGGGATGAATGAGAAATAAATGAATCATGTACTGGGGAGATTAATAATAATGTTTATGAATGAAGATAAAAGAGACAATTACATTTGACTATGAAAGGTCGTAATTACAGTAGTCAAATTAGGTCATTCAATAGCTAAGATTAGTATTGATTAATATGCCTTGAGGTTGGCCAGGGTAGGAGGAGGATGAGTGGTTGAAGACATTTCTTTTGTCTGGATAGCTCCGGTTTCTTTATCTGGATGGTTACTTCTGCAGCCATTTGAAGGACTTTGTGTCTGACCAACTTTAGCGAAAAATTACTAACCCTATAAATAATTGAAAGGGATTGGTTTATACTGGCATCGATGACCAGTTTGTACTAAGTGGCCCAATATCGAGCTGTTCATTTTCTTCACCAGACCTTTTC